ACATGCTACTTATTTTCTTCTTCTTGATTCCATTTTCATTACTATTAATACGGTGCAAAGCATAGCATTTATATAGTGCTTCTCGTGTTTTCTTTTATTTTCTCGACGTACACATCAAATTTTTTCGTTTTGGGTGTGGGTGTGAGGTGTGGGTGGGCGTGGGTGTGGGTAGTAGAGCTCAGCGGTTTCAAAAAAACCGGAACCGAGAACCGAATTTTCAAGATTTTGGTACCCGGAACCGAACCGGAACCGTTAAAAAAAATCATTTTGGAACCGGAACCGGAACCGTTGGAACCGTGAAGCTTTTACTGATAACTATATTCGTCTATGCTTATTCAACTTTAGTTATTTTGACCCTAGTAAATTTTCCATTCACTTATTGCTTTGAGTTTTGATATTACCATAATGCTAGATGATAAGAAAGTTTTTTCAGGTATGGGTACTGCAGAAAAAGTGAACACAGCATTTTGATAAAGAAATCTAATTTTGCTATAAAGTTAGTAAGAAAATTTTCAATGGAACTACTCCAACTGATCGGAAAAGGAAGATTACCGATTGTGATCAACAATCCACTTCGTTGCATTGCACAATCAAGAATAGTTTAGAACTTCAGCAGCAAGAAAAGAATTGGAAAAGACGAAATATTTGATATTGTTATTTGTGATGTCGATTACGAAACAAAGAAAACAAGTTTTAGTATAACTCATTAAACCGATGACCATTTGATGCAAACATACTGTATTACAGCGATTTTCGTATGTTCGCTCTTTTTGCTTGTTTTTGAAAAAAAATTATTTTCAAGAATATTATATGAACAATTTCGGAAAGTAAGGAATGTAAATTTGCTGCGAAAAAATCAATTATTTCATATGCCATTGATAAAAAACTTTTCAAAACGGTTCCAAAGAATTCTTAGGAACCGAAAATGGAACCGTTTTTTTTCATTGTTGAGAACCGGAACCGAAACCGGAACCGCGGTTCCGGTTCCGGGTATCGAGTAGAACCGCTGGGCTCTAGTGGGTAGGTGTGTGTGTCTTGGTGTGGGTGTGGGCGTACCTTTGCTTCGCTACACCAACACCCACACCCACACCCCACACCCCACACCCACACCCGCACCCGCACCCACACCCACACACACCCACACCCACCCTCAATTGTATCTTGGAGTTTCTATCGTTTCACGAGCATTTCAAGTAACACAACAGATGTATTTTTTCGTTGGAAAATTGAGCGCAGATTTGGTTTTACTGGATTGAAGGAAGGCTAAATGAGATTTGATCAGGCTCGTTTAAAACACGAGAATATTTTTTCAAGTGCAGTCTTTTGAAACAATAGAATCCTACAAGATTGACAATGTCATCAAATAAAAGGTTTTCACATGCTGTTTTTTTGAGTTCTTAGTTTTTTCGACAATGAGACTGTAACGATCCCTATTGATTGGATTTCATACACGATATTCAACCTTCTCCTATCATTCACTCGTATATTATATATATTGTCCTCACCTATATATTCTTACGCTGCTGTCCTTAGTTTATTGTTCTTCTATATGAATTGTGAGGGATTGTATTGGGTCTATAAAACTGTATGATTCGTAACAGTTGACAGAGATCTTTAAAAACCAATATGCTATGATCATAATTGATCCTTGTTTTGGCTTAAATCCAAAGTATTGACCATAGGCACTATTACATTTCAATGCATTGAAGAAGATTTTTGACAGCAAATACAGTTTACATTGAAGATTATTTAATGAGCAACGTCGAACAATATTTACTCGTATTCATTCAATAATCAATATAATCTTTCCTTTTAGTTTTTTTGCATGATTATATATAGAAAATGAACATTAATTGAGTAGCTCAATCTATTTGAAACTATTCCAATGTAGGTAGAATGTAGCTGTGGACTCTCTTTGTTATCACGTTAGCATAACCGCATCCTAAAATTATATTGCTGTTTTTATTTCTTCAGTGTCATTTAATAAAAGAAGGTACAGTGATAGATATCAAATGCAGATCAAGGAAAATCAAAAAATCGAATGAAGATTTTCTTGTCTATTACGAACTGCAAGCCTAAAATATCAAATTGAGATAATGTCAATCTCTGTTAATATTCGATTTCGTTTCGCATGAAGCTTACGTACACATGAAAATTCAAAGTATTTTTGTAAATGTTAAAGTAATTAACGACAAGTTGTATGCTATTTTCTTCGATGGATTTAGCAATTCAATTCGAAAATGGCCATTGTTTATAGAGATATATCACTGCTTATTCAATTTATTCAAGTTTCATGGAATATGATGAATAGAGTTCGAAATAAGTCATGGAATTTTTCCAATAATTTGACTTAAAACTATAGGCTGTGAAATGTATGAAGCTTAAGATCAAGATGGCAACTAAATCATCAATATTTTATTTTCGTTTACTTTTCTTTCAGAAGTTAGATATCTTAAAAACAACAAAATGAATGAAGTGGCATGTTGAGATATTGTCCAGATAAAATTTTAACAATGATGAAATTAAAAGACAAGACATGTCTTGATTCATTTGAATTCATTGAAAATCAAAATTTAATTTTTTTCAGTCGTAGAATACCGTATTTTAAATGCTATGTCAAAAGCACGTTCTCATATATTTGCATAGGAATATGCACATATTCCTATAGATTCTTATATTTCTTTTCTGAATATTTCTTTTTCCTTGACTCGTTTTGAAATTAATTACTTAAATTATATTGCTCAAAACCTATTTAAGTTGAATATAGTTTTCATAAGATACTGCTCAATCAGTATACAGAATAGAAATTAGAGTTCTGACATTGTCAAAAGTTCAATATCTATTATTCGAATGATTGATGAACGAGTGTCATCAGTTTTTCACTTAAGAGTTTACAATTCAAGAATGTAGACTTCAATGAATGTGAATGAAATATAGACTCATACTCACACCTCACACTCAAAAATATTATTATATTAAGAATGGTAAATCTTCTCTTGAGAGAAATATCCGATTATCGTAAACAATATACTACTATTAATGCCTATCCTAAACAAAATAATCAATTCATACTAATAAATAAATCTCAGCGAACCAAACAGCAAAACAGATGAATTTAAGTTTCATGATGTATTTTTCTGATTAGTTCTCACCAGTGTTTTGATTGGGAACGTGTAATTAATAAAAAAAATGCTCTCTTACAAAATTCTCATTCAATTTAATATGATTCTATTCTCATGCATGTTTATTTTGTAGAGAAAAGTCGAAAAATGTTGAACGCATAAATTTTCCTGAAAATTACAAATATATAAAAAAAAAGAAGCATATCTATCAAGGAATAATATTACAAACCAAAATTTCGTTTTGTACGTACATTTATTAGACTTTTCTTCCAAATATTGTACAAATAGTTTATGAATAGTTAATGATTTTATCTACATTATACCAAGATAATACAAGTGAAGTAAAACTTTAAAAAAAATTGAAAATAGATGAATAAGATCGGTTGTAAATTCATTTTCAACTTTGAGATTTTCTAAAATACATTTCATTTGATTTTTTTATTTTGAAATGATTTCCAATTATAAAAGTATCCATCGTATTTAAATAGTATTAATTTCTTAGACCAAGTTGCTTCACTTTCGGTCCTAGAGTATTAAAAACTCTTAGATATGTAGATTTTTTAATTAACTGATTCAATGAATATCATTGATTTGGTCTTATCTATGGAGACTTTTTTGCTTAATAAATTTTTTTTGTAATATGATAATTCAATAAAAATAAGAAAAAAGTATTCAACTGTAATATGTAGTGCCAATCCCAATCATGTTAACATTTTCTCATTTCGATCTATTGATACGTCTTCTAGTTCTGAGGAGATCTTCCAATTCTGCTCACGTGCTCATCTCCATATGTCATAGTTACGAGAAGAAAGAAATTATAATGAAACTATAAAAAAATAAATAACACTGTCACGTTTCAAAGCTGAATTTTATTTCATGAAAGATTGAAATCTTATTGAAACAAATCTATTTCATCATTGAATTTCACTTTATATGTTTTCATACTAAAATTGATTTTTTTTTTAACAAAAGAAAAAAATAATGCATAAATTAAAATAGACAAAGTATTGAAAGGTAGTAGCTTTGAAATATGAAAGAAATTGATTTATGTTTAAACTTGTTTTTTTTGTTTCGATTTTAAAACATCAACATTTTATTAACGATTTTTTTGCAATTTTCCCAATGCATTCTGGCAATGTATTACACTTGAGCTATCGCAGTACATTTGTATTGACGTTTCTGAAAAGAAAATTAATTGACTACTTTCAATTTCTAATAATATTAAACATAAACAAATTTCAGCTATGGTAAGTTCATAAATGCAATCACGAAACTTTTATTTTCTTTCAATCTTTAAAATGCTTCGATTAGAAAATCATCAAGTTTGTTTTTTTTATTTTCACTTTTAATTTTATTCAATAAAATAGCTCCTAAAGCTATGGCAATACAAATAAAAAGTATTATTTGAAGAGTTCATAACAAATACTTTTTGAAAAGTATCGAAGATTTACTTTCTTTAGTACTTTATAATAAATTAGGCGTTTTGATGAATAAATGATGATCTATCAAACTATATCATTTTTGAATATGATCATAATACACGCTCTGACATCAATGTGATTAACATTCTTTTTTGTTTTTTATTTTTTCAATTTATTAAAGAAACACCACAACTGTTCTTCGTATTTCTGATTATTTGTTAAGAGAAAAAAAAGACTTAGTACATTATTTTAATCAGAACATTATTTGATTTAAATATAGCTGAAACAAAAAAATAATAATGCATTGTCAAATTTTTCAAACATATACAATGAACAACACTTGAAAATACAATGTTCGATTGTTAAGAGATGCATGTACGAGCGATAAAATTGACTTATGGATTAATCTTTTTAAGTATTTTTGTTGTTGTTGTATTCTAGAAAAGATATCAATCCAATGATATTGATTATTATCACATATATTTTAGCATTACTGGACATTTTCTTTGTTGAATCAAGTCATTTCTCTGGTGGCACTGTAACATGGAAACCTATAGCTAATACAATTACTGGTTCAACAGTTTCTGTGATGTTTACACAATCATATCAATGGCGACTATCAACAGCCGGATATTGTAACCAAACTTATATTGTGAATAGATCACCTCTAATTCCATCAATGAGTGGTATACTTGCTTGTGTATCATCTCATACTGGTTTCTGTGGTGGTTATAGTTCAATGTCTATTTTTGAATATTGTACCGATTATAGTACATTCCTTGACTCAAGTTCAGGTCAAATTTCAACAGTTCAAACTATAACGATTGGTTCGCAGTTTTGTGTCGCATTTCAAAGTGGAAGTTGGATTCCTGTGCAAGTGGCATGTGTATCAAGTACAGGTAGTTGTTATAATGGTGGTGCTAGCTGGTCGATCGGTACTTGTCTCGATTTAAATATTAGATATGATGGTGTTATTAATACACCACCAGTTGCAACAGTTGTCTCACGTATGTAATATATAATAGATTATTTTTAGAATCTAATCGACTTTTCAGTCTGTTTTTATGTTGTTGCAAGCAAAGAGAAGTTTATCTGATTAAGATTGTTATACATAATCAAAATTATTCGTTTGAAAAAAAATCCTATGCTGCAGTTATTAATAAACAAAAATGATTTTTTTGCTTTAGTAATTTAACAATAATACGACTTCCTATCTCATACTATGGGCTATTTAATTTCAGTCTGAATTTATCAAATAAAAATAATACTTGATTTCAAACTGAAACGTGAGTCTAGGAGTGAGGGGGGAGTGACTGAGGGTGTGGGTGTTGGTCTGGGACCCACACACACACCCACACCCATGGTGCGGGTGTGGGCGCGCGAGTGAGGGTGAGGGTGTGCTTGTGGCTTTGTGTACTATAGGCTTTAGTCCCCTGCACAAGGGACTAAGCGGGGACTAAGCTTTTTGTGGGGGGGGACTAAGGGGGACTTTGCAGGACTAGGGGGGACTAAGGGTTTTTAGTGGGACTACGTAGTATCAAACGAGAAAAGTTTGATTCGGAAGAAGTTGGTGCGGTTTTTTTGATTTTAGAATTCAGTTTGAAATAAGAAAGCCCATAGACTCTCCTATCTATGATAATTAAAACTAAAAATTTAGAATTTCATGTGCAATATTAATTATTTCTGTCTGCATAAAAACATGATGATGTAGACTGAACAAAGTCTAAAAAAACTAAACTATAATTTTATAGAGAACGCTTAATTAAATTCTTGTTCCTTCATGAAAAGATAATTTTTTTTGTGTCTTTTTCTTTAGCTATAAATGTACCTGTCAATTCTGTAGTCAATATTGATATTCCAGTGATTGATGCTAACAATGATGTAATACGGTAACTTATTTTTTTTACATTAAATATCAGATAGTGGTTATTTCTATTTCAGTTGTCGTTGGGCTCAGTTGACAACATCATTGGATGAATGTGCTGGTGTCTGTGGAGTAGCAGCTGGTAGTACTCTCAATAGCAACGATTGCAAACTAACATTCAATAGCACAGGAAAAACTGTTGGAGACTATTATGCAATTGCTTTAATGGTTGAAGATTATTGGACATCATCATCATACTTGCCATTTAGTAGTATTCCATTACAATTTCTAATTAAAATTGTTAGTAAACCTAGCTGCTTCACAAAGCCGAAGATTAACTCCAGTTTACAAGAGTGTACTGCTATTACTGTTGGAGTTACATTTACATTCACATTGACAATCATGCAAGGATGTGCAAACACAACAATTGGTGATATATACAGAATACCACCTTTGAACATGTATAAAAGTGAGATAAGCCCTGCTGACTCGATCAATGCATGGATTATGAATGAAACATGGATACCAACTGTTGACCAAGTTGGATCTCAAGTTTATTGTGCTATTGCAACTGATAGGTATCAAAGAATCATATTCCATAAAAAAAATGTTGAAAATTTACCTTCACTTAGTAATTATATACAATCAGAACAATATTGCTTGACATTTACGGTGGTATCCATTGGACAACCACTGACCTGTAATTATAAACTAATGAATGTGTTTTTTTTTAATTTGACCTCCAATCTATACTTTAGGCCCAACAAGTTCTATATCGAACAGAACCACAGTGTAAGTTGTTATGTTTTGAAGAGCAACAATCAAAAATATTTTTGTATTTTATTTTTCTTATGATAGAACTACAACAACTTCAACGTATGAAGCAATGCAAAGTATTTAACATCTATCTTATTATTTTGATTTTATTTTGTAGGAGTGCAACTAAGACTACTAGCACTTCAACAACAGCGTAAGTTTTTTTAATTCTTTTTCATCATAAATTACTTTCAATTAAAGTACGACGGCAACAACAACAACAGCAACAACGGCAACAACAACAACAGCAACAACGGCAACAACAACAACAGCAACAACGGCAACAACAACAACGGCAACAACGACAACAACAACAACAGCTACAACAACAACGACAACAACAACAGAAACTACAACAACAACAGAGACAACAACAACATCAACATCAACAACCGCAACAACAGAGACAACAACCACATCAACAACCACAACAACAGAGACAACAACCACATCAACTTCAACAACGACAACAACGATGACAACTACTATCACTACAACGACAACAACAACTACAACAACAATAACGACCACGACAACGACCACAACAACAACAACAACAACAACGACAACGACAACAACAACAACGATGACAACTACTATCACTACAACGACAACAACAACTACAACAACAATAACGACCACGACAACGACCACAACAACAACAACAACAACAACGACAACGACAACAACAACAACGACAACAACTACAACAACAATAACGACCACGACAACGACCACAACAACGACAACTACTACAACAACAACAACAACGACGACAACAACTACAACAACGACTACAACGACAACAACAACGACGACAACAACTACAACAACGACTACAACAACGACAGTAACAGGTTTACGATATATTATCATTGCATAGAATCTTTGTCTTACACCAATCTTTTTTTTCAACATTAATTTAGTATCAATTTATGGAACTACTGATTCTGGATTGAATATGTCGAGTCTTGGACTCATTCTTGGTCTCTGTCTGCCACTATTATTACTATTAATTTGCTTGGTATATTGCTGTTGTTGTGATCATGTCAAATGTCTCAGGTAATCTTAATCTGTTAGATATTCAAGAATTTGTATACTAATTTTTTCTACCATATGACTAGATGAATTTATTTCTATGTTCTTATATTCATAGTAATCTTTTGGTAAAATTAAACGATGCATTCTTATATATCAGTCAAACACTTGAATAATTTTTTAAATCAATAAAATATTTACTTTTACTAAAGATATCATAAATGTATTGAGCTAAACTTTTTTTACACTATTTTTATGATCTAATTAATTATTGAAGGAATGTTTTTAGTTGCGATTCTTGCCGTCAATATTTTAAACGTGATAAAAATGTTCATCAACAGGTAAAATAATTTAATTAAATATACGAATATTGATGTATTTTCATAAATTAGAATAGCAGGCCGGACTATCGTGATCAATATATAAATAAAAATAGTATTTCGGAGAAAAATTTTAATTTAAATTTGTCGAATGCAACAGAAAACTTCAACGAATCAAGAACAAGTTCTCGTGTTCAATCTAATTATTCGAATATGACAAGAACGCCATTTCTTTCACCTTCGACGTACAGTCTTCCAAATAACGATGTTCAATATATCAGAAACTATTCATCACTAAGTACACAATCAATGCCCAGCCAATCTCTTCTCGTGCTTGCTTATAATGACCAAGAAAGCCGAAAAGTCTTTACCCCTGAATTTTTATCATAACAATCAAAATTTCTTAGAAATCTAACATGAACTAAACACATGTTCCAATCAATAACGAACAGAGACGTTCAGTTTTATTCATTTAGATCTTATATTCATTTTATATCAAAAGATATGTTTTTCTTTAATCATTTTTAATTTTTCAATATATGAAATATAATTTACATGATAAATAATTCGGTCGAAAGCTCTATGTAAATCATTCATTTAAGAAGAGGATTGATTAATATGAGTTTCCTTCGCCCAAATTAATAATTCCAGAGGCCAAATCGGACAGGAAACAGCCTTTTTTACGGTTGATTTCGTCCTGTTTCCAGCATCTTTACGACCGGAATAATTCCGACTAGATGGATGCAGTGTTTCAATTAGGAACACAGCAAAATTCAGTCGTTTCTCGATAGACTGACACCGAAATCATCTTCCTCTTTACGCTTCTGGATGACTAGAAATTCTTGAATTCTACTTTTTTGGTCAGTGGAAATCTTTTTTAAAACTGGAGACAGATTGAATAAAACTCGACTAAATCGTGAGAATAAGCTTATACTGATAAAGGAAATTGAACTCGCGAATCTCATCAAACGATCTGTAGACTTGTATTTCGTGGCTTCTAAAGCATTCGGGTAAGCCATACAGAATTGTTATTCCTGAAATATGCTGTTGTCTTGATCGATAAAAATCAAAGTCAATAGTATGACTCTGACCTTTAACTACAATCTCAATTTCTATTTTATTATCCAAAACTCTGAGCACTTCACCGTCTTTCCAGCATCACATTACTGTTCAACACATCACCACGTAGCACGGTTTGATGCATAGATTTCGTACAGAGTCTTGCAGAGTAAGACTTTTTCGTACCTTATATCCTACCTAACAGCGATGATGTGGGTGCTGGCTAAAGAAGAACACACTCACACCCACATTCTGCTTGTACAGAACTACAAGCTTCTTTTACTCAATTTATCTTGACATTTTTAGAGTATGTCGATAAATATTTTCCACAAAAATGCTGTTTTTCTCGAAGCAATAGGATATTTCGGTTATGGTATGGAACATCCTTACTTGGAATCAGATTAAAAAATGTGTTGAAATTACAAAAATTGACAGTTTGAACGTGGATGATTTGTTCAATGAGTTTACGGAATTGAAATCGACCTTCGAAATTATGAAGAAAAAAGAATGTATCAATACTTGATCAAATTCAATTTTTTCTTTGCAATGTGAGAGAAAAAAATTCATAACTCATCGAGAATAATAATTCGACATGAAGCTGACGACGTAGATGAAGAAGAATAAACAAAAATGATTCAGCCAGATCAGCTCTGGCCAATGTTATTTTTTGTCAATGTAACACCAACATCAAATATAAAGAAATTGATTTGTTTTTGTATTCGATTACAGCTAGCAATGCTTATGTAGAAGGCATTTTCTCGGAAACGAAACATTTGCTTAATAATTTTCATAATCGAATATGAGTTGATTCAATAGCTGCTAAATTACAAATTCGTCGTAATTCCTCATTGTCATCTACGGATATGCATAAACATTTGTTATCTCAAAAAGAGTTGCCAGGAGCATTTAGTTTCAACAACAAATATACATTCAAAAAACAACGTATTGAATGGAATTTTTTTTGTATTGTCTTATATGTTTTGAAATTTTGTTAAAATAAAGAAATGTCACAGACATAAAACAATGGATAAAATTCTTAGAAACACTAAACTTCAGCAACAATATAAGTTTCCGCTATTTTCTGCTTTTCCTGAGCAAGTATTCCGCTTTTTAGACTTTATGAGGAGGAAACCCTGTATATGAGCCAAAATTTGGAAATAAATCTATGAAAAGACTTCTTTTATTCGATCGATATTTATGTCGAATAATAATTCTTATACTTCAATTCTGTTCTGTTAAAGTTAATATTTTCTTGTCATAATTTCAAAATACTGATTAGAAATGAAAGATGAAACCATATATTGGCTGTTAGAATACATAAAACAAATCCGACATTACATATAGATCAGAGAAATATAAAAAAGTCACGCTTGTAATTTAATTATTGCTATTTGTATTTCAAAACAGTATTTAAGCTGGATTTTACTTCCATCATATAGTTTCTAGAACTGAACTTGATAATTTGTGAAATCCTATAAATGATTAATATATGTAAGCTTATTTACGACTGCTACAATTCGAATCAGTAATATCTGTTGCAAATATACTGCCACCACCGTGATAGGCAGCGACACGATAAACAAATCTACCTGAAATACTTGCTCATATCAGTTCAATTCATCTCACTATATGACTCTAATAATTCTAACATCAGTATATTTCGTACGTCAATATTTGTATGGATGTGTTATTATAACTATTTTTCCTTCACATAGTCGATTGAAAAAACATATAAGATTAAGACAACTGGACGCATGAATGGCTCAAATAAATATGTTGGTTGAAACTTTGAACATTTCAACACTTCCGGTATGGTGGTATGAGTATATGCTGTGGATGTTGCTTTTGCTCGATCTACACTCTCACTCATCCACACCAACACACTCATTCTCTATTGATTATTAATACAATCTATATTTGAGTGTCTTTTTATGTTTTTCTTTTCAAATTCGCTATTCATCTATGTAATATGTGTAAACAGCTTACGAAACAGGTTTCATCCGAATTATAAAGCAAAGTATTGAAGCATTTCATTGAGACTGCCTGCGCTTGCTGTTGAACTAAAGCGCTCATAGTTCATATCAACCACAACGCGTCACTCAAGAACGATGTTTGATAATCGAAAGTTCAAAGACAGTACGATACGTCTAGTTATGCTCCATCTTCATTTGATTTTTAAAAAATACCTTGAGAACGAAATATGACTGTCATTTGAAAACACTAATATTAGTTACTGATCTCGTCGAGTTACGTTCAATCACGGCGCAAGCGAATAGGTGAGTGACGAGAAGACTCGCATCCATCGTAGTTGTGAACAATGTTCATCGAGTCGTTTCAAATAAAAACTCTATTTTGCATTAAGAACAGAGACATAAAAGTAGATTCTTTCGAGAATCCAAGAAACGTTGTTTACTCATTATCTCAACTCAAAGCTGTGTATCGTATAAATCATCCTTCCGAGGTGAAACAAAGGTTGACTAATGCGCAATACTTGATTTGCGTCATTTTTGCTCAATGACAATGTGTTTGCATACGGTATCTTTAAGTAGTTTCTCTCACTAGAGTTGTAAAAGTTCTCAAAACAATCGGCGAATGGCGCATTTTTTCCACTGTCAATAATGACTTTTTTTTTTCTCTTACTTACAAAAAAAAACACTTTACAAGATAAGTATTTAGATGAAACAAAGCTTTGTCAACATTGATTGACAACAATGACCTGATATTTCAGTGCATTGCAGAAGGATATTTTTGCAGCATTGCTATGCAGAGTAACGAACAAGAATGCTAATAAAATGCATTCGTAATATTCGAGTACCACATTATAAAGACCCGCTTATACGAGATGGAATAGAATTGCGACTTTTAACTATCGCGTCGCCAATATCTGAATAGTATCAAATGTTTCGACAGTTTTTTCGTAAAAAAAAACTCGAACAGCTGTCAAACAGTTCAAATGATATAATATATGAGCTTTTTCGATTTAAATTGAAGGTACCAAAAGAGAAAATTTTCTTCGTTCGATTACTCTCCACTCGCTACCTATCGTCTTTTTTTTAATGACGAAACATTCATAGTGTGTACGATGACAAAGAAAAAAAAAGTACAAGAAGAAGAGCAAAAGTGATTAAGTGAAATGGAATTGACGGCTTTGTTTGATGATTATAAAACATTTAATAAAAATGTTTTTTATGATCCAACTCACAAGTAAATAATAAATTGATTGATAATAATCACTTTGATGTCATACCAATTATGTATGATAGATTCTGAAGTACTTTATGACTTTACTATTATACAACATTCATTTATTAGCGATAATATTCGGTCAAAGTCCAATAATGACAAATATTTAGTTTAGATCTGGACTTTGGCAAAAAAATAACTCAAAGTAGTAGAAACGAGATTTACACTGAACGAAAAGTTTCGTTTTGATATCACAAAATGAAAAAACATTAGAAGATTTCAT